AGCGACATTATGACAATCTGCCAAAAAATAAAAATAAATGTTTGCAAAATGTTTTGAAACTTTAAGATATAACGTCTGCTGTGTATAGGCTGAAATGTAAATTGGAAACTCACACTATAAAAGTGAAGCCGTTAAATCCAAACCGAAGGCCCCCACTCGTTAATTGGACAATGACCAAAGGCTATCTCAAAATAAAAATTAACAAACAAGCAAGCAAAACCAGAAAGGTTTCGCGTTTTTAACTCAAAATAGTAATTTGTGCTTAAAACAAATGGTATATATACAAAATGTATATTTTCGACGATACCACCAAAGATTTTTGTCATTCTGGAAAAGTAAAACCCCAAATATGTCTATCTGTAGGGTGGTCTCACACACACGGACCTGATGATTTGTAACAGCTATATTTGGACCTAAACTAAGGTGTTTAGAGTAATATTACATGTCTAAGGGGTTCAGATCGACTTTCGGTATAAATGCCAGCCCAAATTGATTATATATACTCGTAAATATAATCATTGGCGGTGGCATTTCTTACACTTGTTGTTACAAATTCTCAGGTACCTGTGGTCTGACAATGGCGTCGTCTGTTCTTGTGTAACCATTGTACAAGCGTCAAGATATGAGACATTGTAATTAATTATTAAAAATCAATTAGTAGAACCACATGTGATGACCATAATACGGGAAGTAGTATACTGCTATTGAAAATCCCTGGAGCAATATATATCCATAGAAACACTAGCTATTAGCTATATATAGCCTCACGTTGTGGCTAAACCTGTCAGGGGAGATAATCCGATTATGACTGTCTCTGATGAAGTGGTTATTGAACATGTTGTCTGCATGTGATTTGTGAAAAGATAATTCTTACGGAAATGTCACATGATTTATTTAGTAATCAAACAGACAAAACATGATGAAGAATCAATTTATTAATAATAGTGTTCGTGGAACTAGAATAACAATAAAGAATTTTTGGAAGAATTATTTTCAAAACGCTAACCTCTTTTCTTGACCGAATTTTGTTTCATAACTTAATTGGTCACTTGATATAACTTGAGCTTTAACATTTTTGTCCTATAACAGTTTTTGTCCTATAACAGTTTTTGTCCTAACAGTTTTTGTCCTATAACAGTTTTTGTCCTATAACAGTTTTTGTCCTATAACAATTTTTATCTCCTGAAAAGAATTTGTCTCTTCACACGATTGTGTCTCTCAACTTCATTTTGTCTTGATATTTCGTATCATTCTTTGACCTTGCGTGAGTTTTAAGTGACTTACAAATCATTGAATAATTCGTTTGAAAGATAAGTTAAATTCACCCCTCTTTATAAACTCACACTCCAATTATAATTTAGATGTATTCTTCAATTGGCAGTAAAGATTTAATGAAAAATTCTGATTTTTATGCATCCGGATTTTCATGCTAAACTCTCAACATATGAAACAAAGATTGAGTCTATGCATTTACATCCATCAAAGAATTCACAAATTAAAACTCCCGTCCTAGCCCTGTGCTAAAGCAAAAAAGTTTTCCATACATGGGTAATTATAGGCATTATACTGTATACATATCATGTAATTCATAATTTCTGCGGTCGATTAAATGTCCATTGGTATCAGGAATTTCCAGGAAAGAGGGTACAGGGAACAGGGTACGAGGTAGTTGGTTGGTGGTACAGGTTACATGGTACGAGGTAGTGGGTTGATTACAGGGTACGAGGTAGTGAGTTGATGGTACAGGGAACAAGGTACGAGGTAGTGGGTTGGTGGTACAGGTTACATGGTACGAGGTAGTGGGTTGATTACAGCATACGAGGTAGTTGGTTGATAACAGGATTCGAGGTAGTGGGAAGATAACAGGATGCGAAGTAGTGGGTTGATTACAGGATACCGAGGTAGTGGGTTGATTACAGGATACGAGGTAGTTGGTTGATAACAGGATACGAGGTAGTGGGAAGATAACAGGATACGAAGTAGTGGGTTGATTACAGGATACGAGGTAGTTGGTTGATAACAGGATACGAGGTAGTGGG